GCGCTTAGTCTGACGTCATTACTTCCCGGTCTTTCTGCATGTCTACTACTCTCTCCCCTCTTGTGCTTAGTCTGACATCATTATTTCCTGGTCTTTCTGCATGTTTACTATTCTCTCCCCTTTTGTGCTCAGTCTGACGTCATTATTTACCAGTCTTTCTGCATGTCTACTATTCTCTCCCCTCTTGTGCTTAGTCTGACGTCATTATTTACCAGTCTTTCTGCATGTCTACTATTCTCTCCCCTCTTGTGCTTAGTCTGACGTCATTATTTACCAGTCTTTCTGCATGTCTACTATTCTCTCCCCTATTGTGCTCAGTCTGACGTCATTATTTACCAGTCTTTCTGCGTGTCTACTATTCTCTCCCCTCTTGTGCTCAGTCTGATGTCATTATTTCCTGGGCTTTCTGCATATCTACCACTTTCTTCTCCTCTCCTGTGCTTAGTCTGACGTCATTATTTCCCGGTCTTTCTGCATGTCTACTATTCTCTCCCCTCTTGTGCTCAGTCTGATTCCACTATTTCCCGGTCTTTCTGCGTGTCTACTACTCTCTCCCATCTTGTGCTTAGTCTGACGTCATTATTTCCTGGTCTTTCTGCGTGTTTACTATTCTCTCCCCTCTTGTTCTTAGTCTGACGTCATTATTTCCCGGTCTTTCTGCATGTATACTATTCTCTCCTTACGTCATTATTTCCCAGTCTTTCTGCATGTCTACTACTCTCTTGTGCTGTTTCATACAATTATTATTGAGTTTTTCGACAAATATATATCCTGTAATCTTTTAATCACATGTTTAACTTAAGCTGATTAATTTAGTTTAGATAATAATCATGTTTTAATTAGCTTGCGTGTCCTAGTGTTTGGCTACTTATCAAAGAATGGGTTATAGACGTCATCCCGCTGATCACGCTTTCAGCTGTTGGCGCCTTATAAAAAGTGACAATCTTATTCGGTTCATAGAGCTTGATAAAACTTATGGCGGAGGGTGCTTCTAACTGCCTGCCTTCCCTCTGGTCAGTAATTTGTAATTCAATCTGCACTTTAGGGGTCTCTGAGTTGGATGATTTCCTCGTGTCTTTATGAGTCCAGTTCCACAGGTTTACATACAGAAACGTTAATGGTTCTGATATGAAGTCTGAACTTGTTATAGGTACACTTTTGTGAAACCGAAACGTTAGTGGTTCTGAGGTTAACTTTAAACTTGTTGCGAGTCAGTTTTCTGATAACGAAACTTTAACAGTTTTGAGGTTAATGTTAGTTTGTCATACCGAAAAACGTTAATGGTTCTAATGTTGAGTCTACACTTGTTACAAGTCGGTGTTGTGAAACCGAAACGTTAATAGGCCCTGATATCAAGTCCAAATTTATTGAAAGTCAGTTCAAAAAGAAATTCGTAAATTGTTGTTGATCTTTAAAAAAGTAATATACCTCATTATTCATATACTTCAACATTATTCATATACTCCAACATCGTTCATATACTCCATGATATTACCACTATTTGTCAGTTATCTTTGGTACAAATCACTAAGTTAACCTGATACAGAGCTTACCGGAATCGTTAAAAAATATAATGTCCTTTTATTTGTGATCTGTGTTTACTGGCATAACGTATATGGGGCTTAGAAATAATTTGTGCAGATTTGAGTTATCATAATTTTCTGTGATTTGTTAAATATAAACTTTCTTAATAGCGTTACAGTGCAGTGTAAAGAAATGAATCTGAAACTTCTAATCAAATCCAGCTTCCTACCAAGGAACCGAATATTTAGCCCGATAATAAGCATAGTTAACTAAATCCACTGTTCTTACGTGCTTATTTATGGAGATAGGAATGCATTGTTACACTAGATGGAGCCCCTTAATAAGTAACACAGCGGAAAGTCCGGAGGCTTATAGCACTAAAAATCGGGATTCGATACCCGTAGTGGGCAAGCACAGACAGCCCACTGTGAAGCTTAGTGTTTAACTACAAGCAAACAAATAATCAGTTGGGTATGCGTTATTTTCGGCCGTTAAATGTGTTTAAATTGGCTGGTATTTACTGATTGATGAATAATATTTTAAAATATATTCCACAGATTTATTCTAAGAAAAAAAAAATTAGTATTTGTTTATTAATTTTGAAATTGAACTGTTAAATAAGATCACCTAAACCAGAGTCAGGTTGTCCAATTACGTGCTTGTGGTAGTATTTTGAAGTGCTTTAAATTATCTATTTAAAAATTTATCATGGCTTTTCCAAGGTTATTGGTATTAAACAACTGAGCCTCAACGTCAATAGGACGATAAACTCTATTTTTGGTTTCAACTTTTGTATGTTTAACGGCCTGACATGGCCAAGTAGTTAGGCGCTAGACTCGCAATCTGAGGGTCGCGGTTTCGAATCTCCGAACCACCAAACATTCTTGCCCTTTCAGTCGTGGGGCGTTATAATATGACGGTCAATTCCACTATTCGTTTGTAAAAGAGTAGCCCATGAGTTGGCGGTTGGTGGTGATGACTAGCTGCCTTCCCTCTAGTCTTTCGCTGCTAAATTAGGGACGGCTAGCGCAGATAGCTCTCGTGTAGCTTTGCGCGAAATTCAAAACAACCAAATAACTATGTTTAATATATGCTTGGTGGACTGGTTGAAACTGCCTTGTGGGGATGCGCCCTGGCTACCTAGGCTAAAAATATGAAGGCTTTAAAGATACTTAAGATAAACAACGGATATAGTAGTTGATTAGATAAACAAGGTTGTTTATCTTAAGTATCGTTATCCTTTTTATTGTAAGGCTTTATTTTAAAAACTTACTTAAACGTCATAAAATATTAATTAAGCATACGGATACTAGAGGACGCCACTTGACGGCATTGTTTTAAACATTCTTTTGACTTTCAAGATAAGGCCTTGTAAAATACACATAGGTGTTGAACTTCTTTAAAGAATGTATATACCGTGTAGTTAACTTTTTTCCAAAACATGTAATGTCAACTGTGATATTTGAAAGTAATCTAAGTATTACTATTCGCATGGCCAAGTGGTTAGGGCACTCGTCAATTCAAGCCGTGACGGCCCCATAATGTGACAGTCAAACCCACTGTTCGTTGGTAAAAGAGTATTGGTTAGCTTTAGTCTGTTACTTCAAAATTAGGAACGGCTAGCGCAGATAGTCATCGAGTAGCTTGTGGTGAAATTTAAAAAATCACGTGTAATTCAAAAATTTGAATTCAGCCAAATTGTGAATGACCATGTGGAAAAAAAAAGTTTCCAAAGAAACTTTAGCGATTGTCGAAACTACTTTACCATTATATCAAGATGTTTATAACACTCTGGTAATTATTGATGGCTAACAGGAATGGCGTTGATAATTTTTTTATTTCTTACAATTCTCGTAGTTTAAAGAATGCTTAAACAAAATATATTATTCAAACCTTCACCAAATACAAGACTGCTGAAACTACTTTTCTTTCATTTATAAGTGTCATTTTTAGAAATGTTTTAAGTTTTTTGTTGTGCATCAGTAACCTTTTTGTATTAGCATTAAAATATAAAAATGTTATGATATTAAAGTAGTACGTTAAACCTTTTCATGTTGCAAATATGAATGTAGAAAGAAACCAAGGTTATGTAAAGTGTTCATCTAAATGTAGAAAGGAACCAAAGTTGTGGTAAATGTGAATCTGTTTATCTGAATGTAGAAAGGAACCAGAGTTGTGGTAAGTGTGAATCTGTTTATCTGAATGTAGAAAGGAACCAGAGTTGTGGTAAGTGTGAATCTGTTTATCTAAATGTAGAAAGAAACCAGAGTTGTGGTAAGTGTGAATCTGTTTATCTAAATGCAGAAAGAAACCAGAGTTGTGGTAAGTGTGAATCTGTTTATCTGAATGTAGAAAGGAACCAGATTT